TTCTCATTTGCAAAAAGAGTAATGCTATATATGAAAAAGTTAGGTTTGTATCCCAACTTATGTGGTAGCTAATTTGATAGGTTAATTCACTAAATCCGTCGTCATATAATTAAGAAGATATCATGAAATCAACTTCCACAAAAAAATGGGTATGAGATGCATAATTGTTGCAAAAGGGATATGATCATCCGGAGTAACTTTAAGAAACTCACAATTCGAAAGGACATTTTTGAGAAATGAAAATTGGAGGACACTTTTTTTTTCTTTCATAAACTCACAATTATAGGACACTTCACAACTCTTTACTTTTGCCTTAAACTTTATTTGGTGAAATGACTTAAATGCCCATCTATACTATGTCTATACTACATAATTTTATTACTAATTTCTTGAAAAATTCATTTTTATATCAATGTTTAGTAAAATTTTAATAACTTTAAAAGAGGATATGTTTGATATTTTAATATAAATTTAATAGTGGATTAACCTTTTATTGAGTCAAAGGACTAATATAAGGAGTAAACGACATATTGCCACCCAAGGTTTGACGAAATCCTAAGTTAGTGTCATAGGTTTCATTTATTCCAAATTGCCACCCTTAAAATAACAGTGTTATGAATTTTTAGGATTTAGAGGGTGCAATTACCATAATGCCCTTAACCCTAAATTAATAAATTATGTTTTAACCCCTAAATTAATAGAATTATAAACTTACCATTTTATTTTCAAATTATATCAAAAACACCCTCGATCACTACACACCCTCGTCGGAAACAGCTCGATCTAGGCTATTTCCAACGACGTCGAACCCCCTAGTCACCTCCATCACCTTCCCCATAGTCCATTGTCCAAAACCCCTCTGGTTCCCGACTCATTTGCCCCTCCAATCGTCGGCGCCGTTAGGCTTAGGGTTTCGGTGTTCTTCACCGGATTTCGGTCGATTTCGGGGACGAAAATCCAATTGGACACCACCAATGCAACCACCGTCTCCAAATCTATAAAACTCCTATGTCCCCATCAACTGTTTCGTCGTCATTCGCTGGCCGAGAGTTCGTGTTCATCGGCCGTTTTTCGATGAAGTGGTGGATGACAAACGGTGAGCTGCCGTGGCTGGAAAGGTTAAGGGTTTTGTAGGGAAGGATGCGAGGAGTCAAATGGTGGTGACAAGGGTGATTTTGGGTGAAAGAATCGCTGGAAAAAGAGCGAAAAACATCGGGAACGCCGGCTACTAATGTGCACCGGAGGACTGTTACAGGCAGTGGTCTGCTAACATGCGCCGCCCATGTAAAATGACCAATTTACCCATTTACCATTACATCAAACGTTTTTCCATCACTTTAAGGGTGAGAATCTGGGATAAATGAAACCTATGGTACTAACTTGAGATTTCGTCAAACTTTGGATGGGAATATGTCGTTTACTCCTAATATAAGACCACAAGTTCAGTATTTGAAACATTTGTCCTTAAAATAAAAGTGAAATCACACAGACTAAAAAGAATCAACTCCGAAATTTCATGATGTGGCAACTGGAACTTTTCATTTGCATGCATGGAAGCCAAATGTCCAGCAGAAATTTCATATCTGTCACTACAAACTTCCACGTGACTCCAGCAAAAATCCAAAATTTTGAATCACTATCCATATCCGTCTGCCTCTATCTCTCTGACTCTCTTTATATAAAGAAGATCAACTTCAAACAAATCCATGGTTGATTCAGACAACTGACACTGATCATCAATGGAGACGACGAGTATAGCTGCAGCAGAGACGTCGGAAGCGATAATGCAGCCGGAGAAGAAGAAGAAACTGAAGGTGATGGTGGGAATTGACGATAGTGAAGAGAGCTTTTACGCACTGAAATGGAGTCTCGATAATCTTTATTGTATAGCTCCGGAAGCGAGCCAGGATGGCTCCGATGGCTACAAACTCTCTCTGGTTCATGTTCAACATCCTTTTCAGCACTTCGTCTTCCCCGCTGGTCCCGGTGGTGCAAGTGAGTAATTAATTACAGCACGAATATTCTCAAGTATGGACATAAAATCTGAATCCACTAAAAATTAAAACTTGCTAGGACCCTAAGAAGCTAGTTTTCTGGATTTTAACTTTGATTTTGTTGATTTTCTATTATGTTAAACTGAAAAAAAAAAAAAAAAATTTTTTGAGCTAAAGAAAATTACAATGTATTGCTAAGAAAATGTGTAAATCGCTAGAGGTTCTAAATTTAACAGGAGAAAATCAAACTTAAAACTTTTTGAGTAATGCACCTGGGGTTCTACATTTAACGACCGCATAAACCTTTTAGTAGCTATTCTTGAGGGAATCAAATTCAAGATTTCTTGAGTAATACACCCAAGAGTTTCTATTACCTCACCCATCCACCTAGGGGTGGGTAAGTAGATTTCTTCATAAATAAGTAGTATGGTTATTACTTTTGAGGCCAAGCTAGCTCGAATAATGAGCTATGCCGGTATGGTTATTGTTGAATTGAAATCTTAACATATGGTGTACATTCTAATCTAATAATGTTACAATCCAATAACATAATCAAACCCTTTAGGAAGGCCCGAGTAGATTTTGATTTTGGTTGTTGTAAATTTTTTGCTAAATATAAGAATTTGTTAGCAGCATTTTATGCAACACCTTCAATGGTGGACTCTGTGAGGACAGCCCAGGAAGAAAATTCTGCAGCTCTACTCTCTCGCGCACTACAAATGTGCAAAGATAAGCTGGTAATTAATCACTTATTTATGCATAAAAGCTAAGTATAAATTAGTAGATTCGTTACAAGAACAACAATTTCTAGGTATTTAGTTACATGTAACTTGGTGCAGGTGAAAGCAGAAACTCTGATTCTTAATGGAGATCCAAAGGACATGATTTGTCAAGCGGCAGAACAAATGCACATTGATCTTCTTGTTCTCGGAAGCCGCGGCCTCGGCAAGATTAAAAGGTAACTGATTACTTTTGTATTATAAGTATGATCCATCACATTCGCATAGTCATTAACATGTAGAGTAATGTTAGGTCCATAACTCAATCTCACGACCTCTAACATAGCAGCTCGTCATTGGCCAGCTCATAAACTAGGTCTGCCTGTTTGCATGGATACCGTCTATCCATTTGCGAGCTAACCAATAACGAACTGTCACGTTAGAGTTGTGAGAGAAAATTGTGGACCTAGTATTATCGTAAGATGTATGATCAATAACTGGAAGCACACTAATGAGTTGGTCCAAATTGAACTAAAACATCTTGATCGATTCAAATGCAATTGCAGTAGTTAAAAATTTATTTCCTATTATTTGCAGAGCATTTCTGGGCAGTGTAAGCGACTATTGCGCGCATCATGCTATATGCCCTATCACTATTGTGAAGCCGCCAAAGGAACGAAGCAAGTAATGGCGATATCTTTAAGTGTTTTAGATATGAAGAAAGGAATATATATATATTTGTGTTTTATTTGTGCAATGTAGCTATGTGTGAGCTCCATTTCTGTAATAATAGATGGTTCAGAATCTTAATGAAATCTTTTGTGGGTTAAGATAGTTTAATTTACATCATACTTTTATGCGTGTATGAACTCAGCAACTGCAAAAGAATATCTGATTTCCGGAAAAATGGTACTCAATGTTAACGACGTCACTCGACCAATAAAGGTTCACTTGATAGGTAAAGGTCAAACTATTACTCATCCATGGGTAGCTCAACGGTAAGAGCAAACCAAAGGGACAGTGCATAGCTTTAACTCACAATCTCAGGTTTGATCCTCGGTTGGGTGCAAAGGTAAGTACTTTTGCTCATGATTTACTTAAGGGGTTATAGCGGTGGATTGTTATGGGATAACTTCCCTTGAATTAGTCGAAGTACGTGTGAATTAGTCCAAAAACTTCAGTTAACAAAAGAAGAAAACATTATATATGTTTTTCACAAGTAATATTTATCAGACCAAATTAAATCCGAATACAGTAGACTCGGACAAAATTGTAACATCCATAACTAATGCAATGTAAGCATCTTACGCCCATAAAACATAATCATTTCATTTAAAAGCTTTAAGTTATTGAGTTAGGAGCAAAAGGGTCAAATTGGAGCTCCTTAATTTTTCAAAAAAACCTGAAAAGGTGTTTGAAAAAGTCGTGCTATGGAATTATTTTCTAGTTGCAATGAGGCCGGTTCAATTTAATTGGCTCAAGTGCTCAATAAAGAGAGCGTGCAGCAGCTAAGTCTAGTCTGTATCGAAAGACAACTAATTTTTTTCATAATAAGGTCAAACAAAGATATTGTAGTGGAAGTTGAGGTGTCATTTGTGGATCTAAACAAAAGGATTTTGAATAGATCAAATGGATTTGAGAGCTTAAATTAACCTGGTCAGAAGTGGAGCTGTTGACCATATTGTCTGTCCTATGCATGATGATCCATTTGGCATTTCTGTGATATTAGGTGGTAATACAAAAGGGAAATAAGCTGGCAATGACAAGCTCCTGCAAGACTAGTTCTTAGGAGTGATTTGGTCATATTCAATAACTTTCTAACCAAATGTTGGAAAGTTCTGGGTAATCCAAAGGATGTGTGTCTATTCGATTACGACACAGTATATTCTATTTTGAAGGATGTATGTTTGTTTAATCATATAACACACATACATGTTTGATGTGCACCTATCCTATTATATTGTGTGCTCGCGAATGTATCCAATTACTATGTACGTGCATGTTTGACACATGACGTGTTGTGATTGAATCGATGCACATACTTGACGTATTGAATCAATTACACATACACTTGACATATTGAAGACCGAATCTTTTTAGTGAGAAAAGCCTAAAGCCGTCATCTTAGGCAACACATATAGACAGCGTGAGACAGCGAGATGCTGTTGTTGTTTTAGCTTTAACCGCGAGAAGTTGAAATGGCTTGTTGGAACGAGTCCTTGGAGCTTTCCTGTATTGAATTTGAACACCAGAAAACAACTCTCATCCTATAGCTCAATGCAAAGAATAGAAAAATAATATAGTCTTATTCTCTTTCTTCTTCTAAGCATAGTCACAATCTGAGACAATTAACAAGTCACTCTTTTCGCTAAATAATCCTAACTTTAGCATGACAGGATTGAGTAAACTATATGAATTTGATTTGATATCTAACAGCGACAGAACTTGTTGCTCTGGAAAAACAATCAATGTAAACATACAACATTTTCGTAACGAAGACAAAATATCTAAAGATAAAAAATTAAATGAAAAGAGGAAGATCAGCTTGAGACTTGTGTGTTACTTGGGTTCAACTTTTGCAGAAAGTGTATATCCGCCACTGTAATCAAAGGCATGATCACTGTCATTGACATCCTTTTTCGGCAAGTTTTCGCCATAAATTTGTCTAATAACACCTTTTGTAGAGTTAAAATCTGTTGCAGATGATGATGCTGAAGTTGAGTTTGTGTTCAATCCATCATTCTGTAAAAGGGTTTCGATTGCCTTAACCACCTCACTCATCGTCGGACGATCTGCAGCTGATTCTTCAACACATTGCATTGCCAAATCCAGAAACCTTCTAAAACCTATAAGTCCTGTGTTTCTAATGGTTGGATCCATTATCTCCTTCAATCCATAATGCTCTTCATCACTCTTATCCATCATCATTCGAACTTCACGGACAATGTACTTTCCCTTCTCTATCGGTTGCCTAGCCGATACAAGTTCTAGCATAACCACTCCAAAACTATACACATCACTCTTCTCAGTTAGCTGTTGAGTCATGTAATATTCAGGATCGAGATAACCCTGTAACCGGACACCATTTTGACATCAATACGAGTCAAATAAAAACCTATAAAACCCAACAAAAGATTTGGATTTTGTATACTTACCAGTGTGCCTTTAACTTGAGTTGAAACATGTCCTTTTGCACTGTCTGATACAAGCTTAGACAAGCCGAAATCTGCAACCTTAGCTGTTAAATTTTCATCCAACAGAATATTGGTGGACTTGATATCTCTGTGGATGATAGGAGGATTTGCAAGCTCATGTAGGTAAGCCAGTCCTCTCGCTGAGCCAAGAGCGATGCGAAGTCTTCGTTTCCAATCAAGATGAATGCCGGATCTCCCTGGAAATGTAGAAATGAATTCTCTTTAGCATGATCAATGTCAAAAACTTATTTTTTCGTGAAATATTGAACTGTCTGTTTTCTAGTTCAAGAGAAGGTCTAGTACCTGACAAGCTTTCCCTAAGAGTTCCATTGGGGAGAAATTCATAAACTAGCATCTGTTCTCCTTGTTCGAAACAGAAACCGACAAGGCCAACGAGATTCTTATGATGAACGCGCGAAAGCAATTCGATTTCAGTCTTGAACTCAAGCCCTCCCTGCATTGATCCTTGCTGAGCTCTTTTGATTGCCACTACTTGTCCATCAGAAAGCATTCCTCTATAGACCTGGAGGGCACATAACAACATCACTTAGCAGCTTTTTAGATCCTCTTCAGGGAGTAGAAAATAGAGCAAAAATCATTTACCTTGCCGTAGCCTCCGGACCCTATCTCATTGCTTTCGGAGAAATTACTGGTGCATTTTTTAAGTTCATCATAAGAGAACCATCTTGCTCCCTTCAACTGTGGTGCACCTCCACTGTCTTTGCCACTGGGTGCCCAGGATGCTGCAGAGCAAAGAATATAACCGATATGACTAAAACTTTCTCATGTTGCTCAACTAGAAACATACTGATTTGACAGAAGATGAATTACCAAATGGTTTACTCATTCCGATGGCTCTTTCTGCACGTTTCTTTTGCAGGAAAGCGTATATCCCGATTCCCAGAAGGCCTAGAACCAGAAGGGCACCTCCACTTGCTATGCCAGCGATCACACCAGTGCTAAGAGAAGCTCCTTTATGTGACTCTGAAACATATTTGTTGTTTGTCTAGTCAGTTCATCATTCTATGACGTAGTACTAATTTTACACTGAATAGAGAGAAGCAGTTAGTTACCTGGAAAAGGATAAGGATTGGCGATGAAATAGTAGGGACCGAACTCCTTGGGAGGCTTGTAGGTTTGATTACTGAACTGAAATCCTATCCTCTGAATTTCTGACCTGTTAAAGTACTTTCCGGTAGACGGAAAGAGTGCAAGCTGCACTTGAAGGTAGTCATCGGTATTGAAGAAGGGATTCTGAAGAAAGACTGAACCAGGATTGAGCTCCATTTTCACCCACATGCTCATCTCTAATTCATGAAACAGGCTCACATTGGACAATTCCCTAAAGGAGGGTCCTCTGAAATACATTGTCCCTTCAAATGGATAGGCACATTCACAGCTCTGAGGGCTGAGCCTCTGATCTGGCGGACATGATCTGCCTCCACAATTAGCCAGGCTGGTCGAATATGGTTTTGCAGTTTGTTGCTGAACCTGGCAGTAGTTCATATTTGAGAGATCTGAGGAGCATACAGGATTCCCTACAAGTCTGAAGAGAATAACATCGATCGACAAGTAAGAATGATGCAATGGATAAACACATTATCACTCGATGAAACTTAAAGCTTACAAAATGTCTTACATTAATGTATAGTTTTTATATCCTGAATCCACTGTTAGTTTAGAGATTTTGTTGTTCTGAAAATCAACAAGCTGCAAATCTGGACCAATGGTGTCTCCTAGGTTCAATGTGTCATTAAAAGAGTTGTTCCTCAGTTTCCTGCGAAAAAGTATAAGAACTAAATTAAGATTCATAGCTTTCTATTTCCCAAAATCATTTGGAAACTTCTGCTGGTCTTAATAAAAACTTACACTTGTTGTATTTGCTGAAAACTGAAGATTTTCTGTGGAACAGTCCCTTGAAGTGACCCATGTTCGACAATCCTGAATAGAATATAGAATATAGAGCTCCAGAATGAGATTTGAAAGTGCTTTTGAGGGAAGTGATTTTCAGAATTTTAATCTGAGATTGACAGAAGACTTACAAAGTGGTGAGTGATGTTAAGGTTGAGAACCAAAGTGGAGCTTCTGATGGATCAAAAGAATTGTTGCTAAGATCCCTGAAAGGTAAGCCATTGATCAGAGAAATTCTCCACGAGAAAAATATTTTTTTTGTGAGAAATCAACTGAAAATGGTAAGTTTTGTGTCTTTAACTCACACATAATTGAGGGAATTCAGTTGACCGAAGTTTGGAATAGGGCCTGTTAGATTGTTGTGAGCTAAATTCCTGAAAGAGGAAGAAAATTGATTAACCAGCAAACTTTCGTATTAAAAATTTCACATCTTCTTGAAGATCAAAGACTTACAATTCATTGACGCTTGAAAGGTTATTGAGACTTGACGGTACCTCTCCTGAGAGATCATTTCTATCAAGCCGGCTGTTGCAGATTAAGAAAGTTTCAGTTAAACGAATTCGATGAGATGCTGACCGAAATCACAGTGTGAAAATGAATAGAAAGATGAATATGAGGAGGTTTTTACTCACAGAACCTCAAGAGTCTGAACAAGTCCTAATGTGCTGGGGATGGTCCCGGTAAGTTGATTTCCATCAAATAATCTGAAAATGGAAGAACGCTTTCGTCAACCGTCTACTTTTCTTTTTATAATCTAACCGAGCGATGCAGGGTGGATATCGACTTACACATGTATCAGTTCCATGTCAGAGCTGAAAAGTTGAGGGGAAATGGTTCCGGAAAGCTGGTTCTTGTTAAAATGGCTGCAAATCACAGAATGAAGTTATTGTTTGTTAATAAGCTTAGCTTCTTTAAAGACAGTTTTTTTTTTGTGGAACTGGAAACAAAAAGTACTCACAAGTGTTTAGCATTTTTAAGCTGATCCAATCCTGGAGAGTTGGGTGTCGAAACTGGGATTGATCCTGTCAACTGATTGTCTGCCAAGTCGAGCCAGTAAAGATTGGAGAGTTTACCTAAAGAAGGAGGAACTGTACCGCTGAAGTTGTTCGAGTTCAGAGCCCTGGAAATGAGTCTAGTTTTTAGCAAAGTGAACATACAGAAAACTCGCCAGTTTGTGATGTTGTTAAACTGTTAAAGCTATTCTTACAAGAAAGAAAGCTCTCCCAAATTGCCTATTTCATCAGGAATGTCACCGGTGAAACTGCAGCCGGCTAAGATTCTGAAAGATGGCAAACAAAAACATATTTCATCAAATCATACAAAACAGAAGAACAGATTAGCACGTGAGGCAATAGGATCTTACAGAATATTCAGATTCAGGAGATCTCCTATCCGCGGAGAGAGCGAACCTGTTAGGTCTTTGTTAAATGACAGGTCCCTGAGATCAAATAGATGCATAACTTCAATTACCATGTGAGAGCTAGCAACAATGAAATATGCAGTAAATCAACAAACTTTCAAGAAAATAAGAGAAGGAAACTGACAAGGATTTCAATTCTGTAAGCCCTCCAATGTCTCCACTCAGTTTCCCTGCCAGGCCCATGGTTGATAATCCCCTGAAAACATAATGTACAAAGGCCAATGAGCTTTGCTTCAATTGTCAAGTTGAAGAGAAAGTAATAGAAACCAGATCTTACTCACAATTGAGTCACCCTTGAATCGATACACTTAACTCCGTCCCAGGCTCCACAAGGGTCATCTGAGTTTTTCCAGCTTGGAGGTATATTTTGCCATGAATCCTTCAACGATTGGAGCGCCGCAGCTGCACCACCACATAATCTTACAGTCAATATTATATATCTTCTCAAGAACAGTTCGTATACATATGCAATATGTTCATTAAATTTGGCATTGCTTTTGCCATTTCTAACACTACTTTATTCATAAACCGACTAAACACCACCATTCAGCCAATCCAGCAAAGTATACAATCAAATATGCACAAATGACTCAAAATACTCGTACAAATCAAACACTACAAGTTGCAAATCACATTACCATCATTAGAGTCAGTAACACAAGAAACAAACTGAGCTTTGAAGCTAATCAAAGCGACGAAGACTACGAAGAGCAAGAATCTGCAAAAGGGTGCCATGGCTGAGAGAGCTTGACTGAAATTTGGCATATTAAAAGATGATCATTCAAGCACCATTGAAGAAACAAAGAAAGAAAGTTTCACACAAAAATATGAAAAGGGTATGTCCTGTTTTGGTTATAGAATTGATTTCCCTTGTCTTGGAAGTCAATCTAACCATCTCCACTACTGGCCAAGGTCATCATCATAGCGTTTTGTTCACATCTTCAATCACTTTGTTTATGTCTCTAGTTATAAAGGTAATGTTCCCTCTAAACAAAGTCTCTTTCAAACAAAAACAAACAATTATGATTAACCAAATGCTATAGCTACACTTGATGGATCCTCCGCCTGCCTGCCAAAACAATGGAGATTTATATATATATATATATATAAATATTAAGCCTTTTTTTTTAATACAAGTTTTCTCTTAGCTTGCATTGCATATATATTACGAAGGATTTTCCTATGGCTGGTTTCCAGCTCAAATATAAATAATGGAAAAAATGTAAACATTATAATATTTTATGTGTTCTTATATTGATTAAGGGTGTGTTCTTCTCCAATTTTATTAATCAGAAACCGCGTGCTACTTGTTCACTAATCATTTTCGTTTTTAAAATTCCAAAACAGAGGAAATATGTTTTGGAGAGTATGTTTGATCCATATATAAGGCAAAGATCATAAAATATTTTGTTTTCATTCTCTTATTTTATTAGCTTTATACGGAAAGATAATGAATGCATTTTCTCTGTTTTCATTTTTGGATATTGTTTTAAATGTAGTTTTCAATATTTGATATTATTTTTTTGGTGATTGGGAGTGTCCGACCCAGCTTATGCGTACCTTAACTAATCTCTACAAAAACCAAAGAGAATCGAGCTACCCCTATTAATAACTGAGGAGAGTCGAACTCAAAACCGCTTAAATAATAAACCTAATAGTCTCTATCACCCCATTCGACCACCCAAGAGTATTTAATATTTGATATTATTAGCCACTCTTATATCCCCTATCACAAATTTACTATTTATAATATATTACTAATTTCATATATCATGTTATAAATCTATGTTTAATTTGACAGACCCACATCATAGATTTTTTTTTTTTTTAATTTTGTGTTCATTATGAATACTAGTTAGAATCACTCTTTTAAAGTGTCCAATGAACATGAGTGAGTATGTTTAAAGAATGCTTTACTTTCTTCAACCTTCATCATCATCATCATACTCATAATAATTAATAATTTCCCACTAAGCAATTCCCCATCAAGATAGTTGGAAAGTAGTTGTAAAAGGGTCCTACTTTGCCTTATTTTTTTTCCAACAATTACTTCACCAATTGAGATTGGGAGGCTAGCACAAGCCAAAGACAAATATAACATGTTATTCCACACTACTTCAAAAAGATTCCTTTGGGTATTTTTTTTTTTTCCCTCATTGTTCTATGTGAAGGGCAAAAGTTCTTTATTTCAAATTGGATATTCTTATTACCTAACTCTAGAAAATTGAGAGACACATCAAGTAGTTGGTTTACTAGTTTTTCTTTGTGAATTTAACATCTATTGACCACAAAAACACTTTTCGAGCACGAGATGATAACATTATCATTTCCGTATAGATCGTAAGTAGTATTACAATCGTTTTAGATTTTCGGGTCAAAATGATAAGAGATGATCTAATTTATTTGGTTAGAATTTGTAAAGACCCCATAATTGGAAGGTTTGGTTATTAATAGTTACTAGTGATAACATTATCATGTACATATAGATCGTAAGTAGTATTGTAGTCGTTTTAGATTATTGTCGAGTAAAAAAGATAAGAGATGATCAAATTAATTTGGTTAGAAATTATAGTGACCCCATAATTAAAAGGTTCACCCATTTTGTATAAGTACTTTTTCAAAAGTTTATTAGCTTTGTATAAGACATCAAAAAATAGCATTTCATGGTGAGATTTTAATATGATTGTATAAGACCCGGTATAATACATTTCTTTTGTAGTGTAATCTTTTCTGATTGTCAAATTAAGGGATAAGATGATCAAATTTATATGATTATAACTCTTAATGGTCACATAATTGAAAGGTTTGATTAGTGAATATTATAAGGGGATAACATAACCCTATCCAAACAATTATTTTGTAATACAAAATTATATAAACCAACTTGTAAATAAAATATTTGTGTTTATTCATTTTGGCGTTACAAAAGGGATAGCTCTCTAGCTAGTTAAGATACTCCCTACAACATTACAAATACATGATGAGTATATATAATAATATGTAGATTATCATAACTCAATACATCCATTTGATAATTGGTGAAATTATTGGTATTTTATTTTATCTAGATCTAGAAACTTTTTATGCTATTAAAAATTTGATAGTATTTTGAAAATAAATAAATAAATAAATAAATAAATATATAAAAAGGTTATTCAATGGGATAAGTATTTAAACCCCCCAAGGTTTAGTAGAATCTAATAAACCCTTTGTAGTATTGGTAATTACTCTGTACCTCCTTGTAGTATTGATAATAACTCTCAACCCCTTATCGTCAATGGTTTTTTTTTTTTTTTTTATTTACTTTTAACCATAGAAAGGGTAAATGGCCTTAATGCCCTCGCCTCTTATGCCCATCGATCGCAACCCACTCCCTTAACTTTTACTTCATATCTAGCAGGCCCCAAAACCCATGTTAAGTTTAAAAAATTATTAAATTATGTAAAGTATCACAAATTTTAATAAGAAAATAGAAAAGAAACTAAAAATAAAATAAAAAAAGGGAAAAAAATCCGAAGAAATGAAAAAAAAAAAATCTGGAACAATGAAAAGAACAAGAAATATATGAAAAAAATAAATAAATATATAATGATCTAAGAATTGAAAAACTTACTTTGTAAAAAGTTAAAATCTTAGAATTTTTTTTTTAAATAATTTTTATTTAGTATTTGTGTTGTTTAGTTTTTTTTTTAATTTACTAGTTATTTACCTTTTTTATTTAAAAATGAGTTGTTAATAAAGTTTAGGATAAATTACTTAAGTTCAAATTATAATTAAGGTAATTCGTAGTTGTGTTTGGTTAAATTCAGTCAACTTCCATATTTGTTAGGGTTTATGTGGTAATCTTGAGAGTTTTTGGTATATAATAATTTTACAAGTTTTAGGTGGTGCAAATATTAGCCCTTTGTAATTATGAAAACTTAGGTGTATTTACTGTTTATCCTTGGTTTCATTAAAACTAACCAAAAAACTTTTAAGGGGTTGACGACAAAGGATTTAGAGTAATTACCAAAATTGTTTTAAAACCCAATCTATCCTGGCCGGTTGGATCGGTTGGACCGATGAGCCAGGCCAAGAGAGTAAAAAAACTAGGGGGACTATTTGATCCAAATTCACTTGAGATTGGACCGAGGTACTTTAGCAACCCGTCGGTCCAACCGTTTTTTGGAAAAAAACTGGGTGACTAAAATTGCAGAAAAAATGACTTTCAACTAGCAAAAACGGCAACTTTCGGGGGGCAAACATGAATCAGGGTTAGGGGGTTTTAAATGGTGGATCACGGTGAGTCAGGAGGTGGTGTTTGATTAAGTTTTAGTTGTCGGAATTGCCGGAATTTGGCTAAGGAATGGCAAAAACCTAGCTTCTAATTGCCAAAAATTGGTGGGTGGAATGGCTTGGGAACTTTGGAAGTTTTGTAACAAAGTAGCCGGTGAGTCCAATGGTGGCGATGGTTGGAGTTTTTGTTGCTCAAAATGGCCGAATCTAGCAAAGGATACTCGAAAAAACACATTTTTCATCCTCGACGATCGGCGAATGATGAGAAGGGATAAAAGGTATGATTTTGAAGAGGAGATGGTGGGGGTTCCAATGGTGGTGACGAGGGTGATTTTGGGTGAGAAAATAGCCGGAAAAAGAGGAAAAAAGGCCTACGTTGACGCATGCTAACGTGCGTCGAAAACAATGACTATGCTAACATGCGCCAATTCAAAATTTTTGAAATTTGTTTAGGTGACACATCACCAGTTTGACCCATCGGTCAAACCGGTTAAATCGGTCAACCTAGGACCCCACTATTTTGCCAGGTTTAGCCCCGGGTTGGTTTTTAAAACATTAGTTACCAATACTACGGATGATTTAACAAGATTTGGCCAAACCTTAGGGGTTGAAGTACTTATCTCAGGGTGCGTTTGGTTTAAGGAATGTTGAATGACTAAAATCTTATATTACCTTGAAAATTAGTTAGAATAAATGGATGGGTATATTATATTAATATGTTTGGTTAGGAGGAATAAATTGGTGGGTATGTTATTTAAATTACTAAATTGCCATCTTTGTAAATATTAATATAATATTATTTTTATTATTAATTTTTAAATATTTTTTTAACCCCCAATATTTCAAATTTAGCTAAAACACCCCCACTTATATAAAACTTTAATTTATAACAAAATCACCCCCACTACCATGCCACCACCGCAAACCACCGCCGAAAGTCGTCGGATGTCTCTTGAAGTCGTCGTGAGGCCTTGATATGGCCGTTTCTGGCCATATTGATGGCCGAAAACGGCCATATCAAACTAGATTTGGCCGTTAACGGCCAAATCCCTAGCCATTATCGGCCAGATCTAGGCGAGATCTGGCCATTAACGACCATGGATCTGGCCATTAATAGTTAGATCTATTCTGGCCATTAACGGCCAGATCTATTCTGGCTAGAATAGATATGACCATATCTCATTCATATATGGTCGCTAAAGGCCAAGTGTCTGGCCATTAACGACCAGACCCATCAATCTAGCTAAAAATGGTCAGAATAGATTTGGTCATTTCTGACTAGATCTGCTTTCGATATGGCCTTTTCGACCATCAATATGGCCAGAAATGGCCATATCAAAGCCTCCTGGTGATGGTGGGCTACTCCCGGCAACTCCAGGTGACTTCTAGCAACTTCCCATGGAGGCCGGCGGTGGTTTGGCTGGCGGCAAGTGGGTGGGGGTGGTGGCTTGGGTAAGGTGAAATTTTTTTTTGATTTTAAAGGTAATTTTGTCCCAAAAGTTAATTAATTGGGGTGAAATGGTAAAAGCAAGATTCATGTAAATAAATTTAAAAGTAAGGGCATTATTGTCCTAAAATTTTATTAATAAGGGATGTAATTGTAACAAAAAAAAGATTACCCTAGTAATCTTACAATACCTAAGAAAATGGAGGTAATCAGATTACCTCCAATATTACCAACAGTAACTACTATGGGGGTGGT